AAAAAAAAAAAAAGAAAAAAAAGAAATCCAAGAGGGAATGATGGTGCATATGTGTAACCCCATCTGCTTGGGAGTCCATTGGAGGAAGACTGAGAATTCTAAACCAACCTGGGATACATAGTTACACCCTGTCTTAAAAAATGCCTAATTCTAGCTAGTCAGGAAGCTAAGATCTGAGGATCACAGTTGAAAGCCAGCCTGGGCAGAAAAGTCCCTATGAGACTCTTGCCTCCAATTAACCATTCAAAACCTGGAAGTGGAAGTGTGGCCCAAAGTGGTAGAGTGCTACTCTTGAGCAAAAGAGCTCAGGTACAATGTCTAGGCCCCACAACTTGCAAAAAAAATGCCAAGAGATTTCAAAGGTGAAAATCTTCTTTTCTCTAAATAGTTGTTATTTGTTTCTTGGATTATGTATTCCTTTGAATTTTGAGAGAGGATCTTTTACCATCCTTCTGCCTTCCCCTCCCAAGAGCAGAGATTATAGTGGCACAGCACCATGTTTGATTTGAGTGTGGGCTTCCTGAGTGCTGGATTTATGTTGATTGCCACCATGTGATTGACAGCATTTAAAATGAGTTCTGCACACATTGTAATTTCATTCCGTGTTTTTAAAAATTGTTACTTGTTTTAATGTGAAGTGAGACAGTGGGACATAATAAACATGAGAGTAAGAATAAACAGGACTTGATTTTATCTTTTGAGTTTGTTTCCTTTTTTTTGAGAGAGTTATTAAATGATGAACTGATAGAATTTTTTTTTTTGTTGGCCATGGGGTTTGAACTCTGGGCCTGGGCACTGTCCCTCAGAGCTCTTCAGCTCAAGGCAAGCACTTTACCACTTGAGCCAAGTGCCACTACAGTTTTCTGGTGGTTTATTGGAGATAAGAGTCTCACAAACTTTCCTACCTGGGCTGGCTTTGAACAGTGATCCTCAGATCTCAGCCTCCTGAGTAGCTAGGATTACAGGCGTGAGCCACCAGCACCAGGCCCAGAGGAACATTTCTAAGAAGACCACTGGTGAACTTGCTATACAGGTCTCAGGCAGCACTTTTTTTTTTGTTGGCCATGGGGTTTGAACTCTGGGCCTGGGTGCTGTCCCTCAGTCTTCAGCTCAAGGTTAGTGCTCTACCACTTGAGCCACAGCGCCACTTCCAGCTTTTTCTGCTTATGTGGTGCTGAGGAATTGAACCCAGGGCCTCATGCATTCAAGGCAAGTGCTCTACCACTGAGCCACCTTCCCAGCCCTCAGGCAGCACTTTGTACAGCAAGGTACAGACTGTGAAGAACTATTCCCCACATACTGTCAATAGCTTGTTCTAAATTTCCTTTTCTTTTTTATTATATACATTAGTTGTAAAAGGGCTGGGGAACTCACTGACAAATGCATTCCAATCAATCTCACCCCCTTATTTCCTTAATCACTTTCTGTGTGTGTGAGCTGGCACCCTTTAGCTTTTTTGATCAATGGTATTATACTACCACTTGAGTCACAGTTCCACTGATGGCTTTTTGGTTCTTAATTGGCGATAAGAATCTCATGGAGCTCGGCACCGGTAGCTCACACCTGTAATCCTAGCTACTCAGGAGGCTGAGATCTGAGGATCATGGTTCAAAGCCAGCTCGTGTAGGAAAGTCCGTGACAGTCGTTATCTCCAATAAACCACCAGAAAACCAGAAGTGGTGCTGTGGCCTAAGTGGAGAGTGCTTGCCTTGAGCGGAAGAGTTGAGGGCAGTGCCCAGGCCCAGAGTTCAAGCCGCACAGCCAACAACAAAAAAAAAGAAGAATCTCCTGGACTTTCCTGCTCAGGCTCCTGAGTGGCTAGGATTACAGGCATGAGTGGCCCCAGGCCCTTAACTACTTCTTGAAACTATTTTACCAGGTGTATTTTCACACAAGAACACAAACTACTTGGATCATAATACAATCTTATTCATCCACCCTTGTTAGCCCAATCTCTTCACTGGCTTACATCTCCTCAGAAGAAACTTTTTAACTTTGCTGTCATTTTTTTAGTGTGTATTAAAATTGTGCCAAGGGTTTCACAGTGGTTTCTAAAATTAGAGGAGTTGTTAGTTTCTTGTGCCCTGTCCTTTGGGGGGGATATATCCACGTATCTCATTTATCCTTATTTTGGTGAGGAGAGCTGTGGGAAGGCTGTTTTCATTCAACACTATGTAAAAATTGAGTATTAAATGCATATATGACTCAAGATATGTAGTATACATTGGATTGTAAATACAAAACACAACTTCCCTCTTGGTTTTTAACCATTATTTGTTAACCCTTCACATAATGCCTATAGCAAGCCTTCCAGCTGGCCTGGGCTTTATAAACCTCTTTCTGTTTCTATATAACTGTGTACATAGTACCATCATTGAAGTTTTTGAGAGCCTGGTATATGCCAGACATGGTTAATAAGAACAAATTTGGATCTGGGTGCTGGTGGCTCATGCCTATAATCCTAGCTACTTGAGGAGGCTGAGATCTGAGGATTATGGTTTGAAGGCAGCCTAGGCAGGAAAGCTTGTGAGACTTTTTTTTTAATGGGGGGGGGCGGTCAGTTGTGGGGCTTGAATTCAGAGCTGGGTGGCACCCCTGAGCAATTCAGCACAAGGATAGTGCTCTACCACTTTAAGCCACAATACCACTTCTAGTTTTCTGGTGGTTAATTGGAGATAAGAGTTGGACTTTCCTGTCTGGGCTGGCTTTGAACCTGGATCCTCAGTTCTTAGCCTCCTGAGTAGCTAGGATTACAAGTGTGAACCACTTCTAATAAACCACTCAGAAGTGATATAGTGGCTCAAGTGGTAGAGTGCTAGCCTTGAGAACAAAGAGGCTCAGGGACAGACCAGGTCCTGAAGCCTGGCAAATAAAACAAAACCAACCAATTAGTTCATAGAATGGTTCTAAAAGGCCTTCCTGGGGAGACAGCTCTTAAACTGAAACTTGGTGGATGTGTGGGTAGAAACTACCTAGCAAAATAGGGACTGGGGTTTGAGGATTCAGATGCAACCACAGATTCAACATGTAAGATAGCGAATGGATCTGTAGGAAACTGGAAACAATGACTAGAGATTCCAAAGGGAAGACAGGGTTTCTTAAGTATACTGGGCTTTATCCAGCAGGCTACTAAAGGGTTTAAGTTCTGTAAGTTATATGATCTGATTTTGCTTTTTAGAAGTGTAGTTGGCTGCCTTGTGAAAAGGAAAGGGGGATGAGACCCCACACACAGAGGCAAGAAAGCTGTTTGGGAAGGTATTGGAGTCTTTAGGTGAACAGGATGGTGGCAGTGGCAAAGAGAAGAACTAGGGAGATGAGTAATTTATGAGTAATCAGGAGGACTTTATGAGTGCATGTGGGGCCTGGGGAAGATGGAGAGTCAGGGATGATAAGAGGTTTTCTGTTCCCTGTCATACAGTGATTATGAATTAAAAAGTCTCCTTAAACAAATACTACTTGCATAATGTCTGCCCAGAGCAGACATTATGCTAGTTCAGAGTAACATTTAAGAGGGAAAGTTTGTAAGATGTTTTACTGTGAAATGAAATAAGAGATGTAGACTAGTAAAAAGACCTAACAATTTCTATTTCAATTGTTGGAAGTCTAGTAAATTAGTATATTATATAAATATGTTAATGAAACCTTCTGAGTCTTAGTGATTATATTTGATACAAATGTATGAAATGCAATCATAGATTTTTTTGGGGGGGTCCAGTTGTGGGGCCTGAACTCTGGGCCTGGGTGCTGTCCCTCAGCTCTTCAGCTCAAGGCTAGTGCTCTACCACTTGAGCCACAGTGCCACTTCCGGCTTTTTTCTTTTTGCTTATGTGGTGCTGAGGAATTGAACCCAGGGCCTCATGCATGCAAGGCAAGCGCTCCACCACTGAGCCACCTTCCCAGCCCAATCATAGATTTTTTTGCACTGTTCTTTATTTCTGACTTGAGGTTACTAGTTCTATTTGATATTGACTTTATTCTTGTTTCTTGTTTTTTAAGAATAAGTTCATTAATTCACTTAGGAAATAAGCAGAAGTTTGATCTGGAACCTTCTGGAAAAGATGTAAGTAAATCCAATTGCCTCATCTTTGCAGAGTTCTGAAAGAGAAGAACAGACCTCAGGGTGGAGAAGGGAAAGGTGCCCAGGCTACCCCTATCCAGCACTCCTTCCTCACCGACGTCTCGGATGTGCAGGAGATGGAGCGGGGGCTTCTCAGTCTCCTCAATGATTTCCACTCTGGTAAACTTCAAGCATTTGGTAAGCAAGATGTATTTCTCTTTACTGTTCTTTTTTCCTTTCAGATGTTTGCATCCTTTTTTCTGCATGATTTTTTTTTTCTTTTTGCCAATCCTGGGGTTTGTCCTTGAGATACTTTTGCTTGAGACTAGTGCTTTACTAATTGAGCCAGAGCTCCACTTCTGACTTTTTAGTGGTTAATTGGAGATGCGTCTCACAGATTTTCCTGCCAGGGCTGCTTTGAACTCTGATCCTCAGATTTCAGCCTTCTGAGTAGGTAGGGTTACAGGGGTGAGCCACTGGCCTCCAGTTTCTTTTTTTTCTTGTTATGGGGCTTGAACTTGGGGCATGGGTGCTGTCCCTGAGCTCTTCAACTCAAGGCAAGCACTCTACCACTTTGAGCCACAGTGCCACTTCCAGTTTCCTGGTGATTAATTGGAGATGAGTCTCACAGACTCTCCTGCCCAGGCTGGTTTTGAACCACGATCCTCAGAACTCAGCCATCTGAGTAGCTAGTATTACAGTCAGATACTAGGGCTTGTTGAATTCATGGCCTGGGCATGCTATACTTCCTTTAGCTTTTCAGCTCAAGGATGGGATTCCGCTACTTGAGGCATTGTGCTCCTTGGGCTACATCTCTACTTCTGGCTTTTTATGGGTTAATTAGAGATGAATATGATGGACTTTTTTTTTGCTTTGGCTAGCTTTGAACTGTAATCATGGATCTTAGCCTCTAAAATGCTGTGATTACAGAGTAGTGAGCTGCTGACATCCACTTGTTCTGCCTTTTTTTTTTGGTCATTCATGGGGCTTGAACTTTGGGCCCCAGTGCTGTCTCTGAGCTCTTCAGCTCAAGGCTAGCCTCCACTAGAGCCACAGCACCACTTCCAGTTTTCGGGTGGTTAATTGGAGATAAGAGTCTTTTGGGTTTTGCTGCCTGGGCTGGCTTTGAACTGCAAGCCTCAGCTCTCAGCCTCCTAAGTAGCTAGGATTACAGGCGGGAGCCACTGGTGCCTGGCTTGTTCTGCCTTTTTAAAGAACAAAAGGGCCGGGAGCTGGTGGCTCAGGCCTGTAAGCCTAGCTACTCAGGAGGCTGAGATCAGAGGATCACGGTTCAAAGCCAGCCCGGGCAGGAAAGTCCGTGAAACTCTTATCTCCAATAAACCACCAGAAAACCAGAAGTGGCGCTGTAGCTCAAGGTAGAGTGCTAGCCTTGATCTGAAGAGCTGAGGGACAACGGTCAGGCCCAGAGTTCAAGCCCCACGACCAACAAAAATAAATAAATATATAAAAAATAAAAAAATTAAGAACAAAAGGCTAGGAATGTGGCTTAGTGGTAGAGTGCTTGCCTAGCATACATAAAGCCCTGAGTTCAAATCCTCAGTACCACATAAACAGAAAAAACCTGGTGGTACTGTGGCTCAAGTGATACAGTGCTAGCCTTAAGCAAAAGAATCCCAAGGAAAAAACAAAACAAAACAAACAAAAAATAAAAACAAGCCCAACCTCTAGTTCAAACGACAGGACTGGCATAACACACACACACACACACACACACACACACACACACTAAAAAGACATTGCAGGAGATGTCATGTATATGAATTATTTTCTCTAGTCAGTCAAAAATTTAGATCTTTCCATGAACAATTACAGACAACTGATCTAGAATGTTACATTGTTTTATAATGTGCTTTATAAATATTATTTGTATTTCCTAAAGGAGGAATACATAACTGCTTATAAGAACTCATAAAGATATTTTTTTGTTGGTTTTGAACAGGGGCTTGAACTTAGGGTGTCACTTAATTTTTCACTCAAGGCTGGCACTCTGCTACTTGGAGTCACAGCTTCACTTCCAGCTTTTGGGTGGATAATTGGAGAAAAGTCTCACAGACTTTTCTGCCCAGGTTGGCGTCAAACCATGATCCTTAGATTTCAGCCTTCTGAGTAGTTAGGATTGCAGATGTAAGACACTGGTGCCTTGCCAAAATTTGGTTTGATTTGTTTCAAAACAGATTTAGGAAGATTTGAGTTTGTGGCCAGCTGTGAAGTAAAGGGAGGCACTATCACAAAAACATTGATTTGTAACTATCCACAGAAAAATATAAGGTGGCTCAGTGGTAGAGCGCTTGCCTTGCATGCTTGAGGCCCTGGGTTCGATTCCCCAACACCACATAAGCAAAAAAAAAAGCCGGAAGTGGCGCTGTGGCTCAAGTAGTAGAGCGCTAGCCTTGAGCTGAAGAGCTGAGGGACAGCACCCAGGCCCAGAGTTCAGGCCCCACAACCAGACCCAAAAAAAAAAAGAAAAAGAAAAATATATGATCATTAACAATCCAGTTTATACATGGAAGAAAATAAATTTCTTTCAAAGCACGTAGAGTTTAAAAGCTACTCCCAATGTTTAAGTTTTAGCATTACTCTTTACTAATATCTGAATGTTCCTTAGGAAACGAGTGTTCCATAGAACAGATGGAGCATGTTCGAGGAATGCAGGAGAAGTTAGCTCGCTTGAATTTGGAGCTTTATGGGGAGTTAGAGGAACTTCCTGAGGACAAGAGGAAAGCAGCCAGTGATGTCAATCTGGACAGGCTGCTGTCTGATGTGAGTAGAGTTGTTTTACTCTATTCTTTTTTCTTTTCTTTTTTTGGTCAGTCATGGGGCCTTAACTCC